TACCTACCTACCTACCTACCTACCTATCATCTTCTGAAACTCAAATCCTTTGGCCACCTAATGAGAAGGAAGGACTCCCTGGAGAAGAGCCTCATGCTGGGAATGATGGAGGGCAAAAGAAGAAGGGGACGGCAGAGAATGAGGTGGATGGATGGAGTCACCTAAGCAGAGGCAAGAGCTTAAATGGACTCCAGAGGATGGGAGAGGACAGGAAAGCCTGGAGGAACATTGTCCATGGGGTCGCGATGGGTTGGACACGACTTCACCACTAACAACAACACACTGACTGTCTCTTACATACTTTAGTGCAGTTTTTTTTAAAGCCGTGTTCACAATATCAGATCTCTGTATTTAATGGCTGTGCCTCCTGGCCCCTGAGCCCTAATGAAGGCTTTGATTTGCTCACTCAGCTACTGTGTCCAGGTGTGGCAAACAGTGCTTGGTTGTGACCTCATCGTTGGCTGCTAAGGATCTGCCTTCCCTTTCCTCCCTCCTGCAGCCACCCACCCTGGGCGTTTAGGGCCAGGAGGAAGAAAGTGCTTCCTCCTGGCCTCAGCCCTGTGGTAGGGCGGGAGGGAGGGCGAGCCCGGGAGAAGTGCCAGGTTTTGAAAGACATGGCAGCTGGCTTCCGGGAGGTTAGCCCCCTGTCATGGGTAGCGTGAAGCCCTTGCCAAGGACAAGTTGTTGTTGGTTGACTTCAGGCCTTGACGTGGTCCTCGGGCAGCTGGCAGTTCCTTTTCCTCACCTCCGCCTTCAGGATTGTCTCTCCTTGTAAAATAGCTGGTGGGCCAGAATCTCTTTTACGTCGCCGTGCAGCCTGTAAGGTGAGATTAGAGAAGGCCACAGAAGTGTCAAGAAACGAGGAGACCCAGAGAGTCTTAACAACGTCCCGAGGAGTGGGAGCTTGAAATACATCCTAAGCATCCTCAGGCATTCTCTGCTCATGGCTCATTTTTTTTTTTGTGCTACCGTTCTTGGAACTTACCATATTTTTCAGAGTATAAGACGCACCTCCCCCCCCCCAGAGGATGAATATCTGGATGCATCTTATACATTGAATCCAACATTTTTGGCCTCCCGAAACGCTGCCCCCGCGCATCCTGTTTTTTGCAAAAATGGACGTGCAGAGGGTTTGGGAGGCCTGCAAAGTAGTCTTGGGGGCTGGGGAAGCCGAAAACAAGTGAGAAAAGGGCCATTTTTTGCTCGCTTTTGCCCCCCCCCCCTTTTCCCCCAGTCTCCAGGAGCACTCTACAAGCTTTCCAAAGCCTATGCATGTCCTGTGTTGTTTTTTTTTTGCAAAACAAATGGGCCCATTTTCACAAAAAACACCCCCCCCCCCAGCAGCACCTTGCAGGCCTCTCAAACTCTCTGCATGCCCCATTTTTCACAAAAACCTGGGCGAGCAGAGGGTTTAGGAGGCCTGCAGAGTGCAAAATCTTTTTTTTTAAATTTACCTCTTCAAAATCTTGGTGCGTCTTATAGTCCAAAAAATAGAGTAACTATGCTGGGCTCAGGAATTGGGGGGTGGGTTGTGGGTTGGACCCATTAAGGCAGACTTCTCTCCAACTTTTCCGGCATTGTGGACCGGCCGGAGTGGGGGGGAGAGGAGACGGTTCCAGCAAGCACCCGCGCAGTTCCATATGCACAATCGACGGGACCCTGCACCCACCCCTTACGCTAATGGAACGCGGGGCTACGCGCTTGCTGGCGCAAGTGAGGATTCGCAGGTGTACTCGCCTGTCACTTCCCGCTATACGGTTCCAAGGCACTGCGGGCCTTGGTGGTGCGGTGTTTAGAGTGCAATACTGCGGGCTACTTCCGCTGATCAGCAGCTGCCAGCAGTTCGATTCTCAAGGTTGACTCAGCCTCCCATCCTTCCGAAGTGGGTAAAATGAGGACCCAGATTGTTGGGGGCAAATATGCTGATTCTGTAGGCTGCTCAGAGAGGGCTGTAAAGCACTGTGAAGTGGTATATAAGTCTAAATGCTATTGCTACTGCCCTCCCTCCCTCCCTCCCTCCTGGTTGACTCAGCCTTCCATCCTTCCAAGGTGGGTAAAATTAAAAGCCAGTTTGTTTGGAGCAAATATGCTGACTCTATAAGCCGCTCAGGGAGGGCTGTAAAACAGTGTATAAGTCTTAAGTGCTACTGCTATTGGCCCGAGAATCAGGGACCCCTGGATTAAGGGGTGGTTGTCGATGCCTATATATCCTCATGGTTACCCTAGACCCAAAATGCTTGTAGGCATCTCTCTAAGCTTTGTCTACCCTGTGTAAAGCATATTTTTTTCTCTCCCCCTCCCCTCCCCCTTTCTGGTCCAGCAGATCCGAATACGAGATCCAAATCAGGGTGGCAAAGATATCACAGACGAAATAATGTCGGGCGCTAGAACTTCTTCTACCCCAACTCCTCCTCAGGTAAGGCAGTTTCTTTCCTCAACTCCATTTTCTCTTCCAAACGTCTCCCGCTTTGGCTGATAACAAGTACCTTTGTGTTTAGAATACAAAAGTTCCGGGGCTAAATCACAGCCAACTTTTCTTATGTGTGAGCACTAGTAACAATCTTAAGAGTTGGAAGGGACCTTGGAGGTCTTCCAGTCCAACCCCCCTGCCTAGGTAGGAAACCCTACACCACTTCAGACAAATGCTTATCCAATATTTTCTTTTTTTGTGTGTGTAAATATGTTTATTTTCATTTTTCATTTCCATTTCATACGGTCACACATATACTGTGCATAACCGGGGCCATATAACATTGAGCAATAAACACAGCCATCCTTGTCAAAAATACTCCCCAAAATACAAACCCAATATACCACTTCAACCCTCCATACACCCTTTCTTTCCCCCCCCTCCAACCTTCCTTTCCCCCCTCCAACATTCCTTTCTCCCCTCCAGCATTCCCCTCTCCTACTTCCCCTCCCCCTCTATCACTCTTTCCCCACAGTTTTGTTATCAGGAGANACTCCGTACAATCCCCCCTCCCATTTTCCCACAATAGAAAATGCATAGTAGAATATTAGAAAGTGTGGCAGGCCAAAGATCCAAAAGAAAAGATGACTGCAGGCCCGACATTCGTCTCAAATGGCTGTGTGCCATTATACCTAATTCTGAAATTTCATCAGGCCTTCTCCTTGACCAGGGTAGATGGTCCACCCTCTGCAGTCCTGCGGAGATGATATAAAAATTACTCCTTTTCAGCAGTATCTATGTTTGCATGGAGAGAGAGATGCTCACCTAAGCCAGGTGCTCTTTTATTGCCCTCTCTATAGGAAATCAAGGAAGGATTTAAAACGGGTCCCATTTTAAACAATTTGCTGTGTAAAAAGCACAATCTCCGTCACGGTTTTTGTCTGTTGGCAACCCAGACAGACCGTTCCAGGCTGCCCAATTTGGCGTTATCATTGTCGTATCTGTCCTACCCAAGGATGAAGTTTCTCGCACATTTTTGTCACCCCAAAAGTGCTTTTCCAAACAGAGATTGGAATTTCTTGGTTATTTCCTTGAAAACGTTTTTTTTTGTGTGATTTGCTTCTAATCTGAAACGCTTCCTCAGAAGAACTGAAGTTCAGAAGAACCAAAGAAACCTTATTTGATGAGAAGCAAAAAAAGTTTTCCAATGGGGGGGAAGGGGAACCCCAAGAAAGTCCAGTTACCTTTTTTGGGGGGGAGGGGGGAACCACCTTAGCAACAACCATGGCCTGGAGGATTGAGGGGTCTCTGCATACATTCACACATTTTGGTGATTGCCAGTGCCGTTTGTATCTCAGTTAGCGGACATTACATACTAAGATCATGGAATCCGGCCCTCAAAATTCCTGGCAAATAGATGGGGAAGAAATGGAAGTAGTGACAGATTTCATTTTTCTGGGCTCCAAGATCACCACAGCCAAGAAATCAAAAGATGCTTCTGGGGAGGAAATCTATGGCAAATCTAGACAGCATACTAAAAAGCAGAGGCATCACCCTGCCAACAAAAGTGTGTATAGTCAAGGCTGTGGTTTTCCCAGTTGCAATGTATGACTGTGAAGGTTGGACCATAAGGAAGGCTGAGAGCCAAAGAATGGAGGCCTTTGAACTTTGGTGCTGGAGAAGACTCCTGCGAGTCCCTTGGACTGCAAGGCCATCCAATCGGACAGTCCTAGAGGAGATCAACCCTGACTGCTCTTTAGAAGGCCAGATCCTGAAGATGAAACTGAAATCCTTTGGTCACCTAAGGAGAAGGAAGGACTCCCTGGAGAAGAGCCTCATGCTGGGAAAGATGGAGGCCAAACAAGAAGGGGACAGCAGAGAATGAGGTGGCTGGATGGAGTCACCGACACAGTCGGCATGAATTTAAATGGACTCCAGAGGATGGGAGAGGACAGGAAGGCCTGGAGGAACATTGTCCATGGGGTCGCGATGGGTTGGACACGACTTCGCCACTAACAACAACACACCGACTGTGTGTTTTAGTGCAGTTTTTTTTAAAGCCGTGTTTACAATATCAGATCTCTGTATTTAATGGCTGTGCCTCCTGGCCCCTGAGCCCTAATGAAGGCTTTGATTTGCTCACTCAGCTACTGTGTCCAGGTGTGGCAAACAGTGCTTGGTTGT